TATATTAGTTAATATATAATTAATTATAAATTAAAAACGAATTTCATTTATTTGATAATTATCCTTATTTTAATTTTTTTTATATTATGGGATAAATTCTTTATTTTGAAAAATAATTATATTTGTTAACATATAATTAATTCTAAATTAAAAAATGAATCTCATGAATTTGATAATTATCTTTACCTAACTTTTTATATTATGTTATAAAGTCTTTATTAACGTTGAAAACTAATTCTATTTGTTAATATATAGTTAATTATGAAAAATAAATTCGCGAAGAATTTATGTATAGATAATTTATATTATGTTATCCAAAACATTATTAAAGATAATTTTTATTCTTTTTTGTTATGTCTAAAAATGATGTTAATTTATTACTAAATGTTTTATATGATGATGAAAAAATTTATATATAGAAAGAATTTGTTTAGTTTATTATTAAATATTTTGAGTCTATAAACTATAATTTATTATAATTTACATAAATTGATTATATATTTATTTATAGATATTAGTAAAATTATTAAGCCCGCAAGTGCGGGCAAAACACCTAGTTTGATAATTAATTAAATATATAGAATAATAATATATCAATCTTTTACGAAAACAGCAATGAGTATAAACATTAAAGAATGCAACAAATCAAGAATCGCTAGGTATAGAAAAAGAGACGTGTGTAGAAAGAGATATGCATATTTGATAATTAATTTAACATAAATTCCTCGAGAGTAAAATTATCAGGAAAACCAAAGTCGAAGAAAGCGCTGGAACTGGCCTCTGCTTCAATGATATTGTGATGTGGCGTTGACATGAGCGACTCTAAGTCAAAACTCTCTGACAAAGGTGGTAATACGTCTGAATGACTAACCTCAAGTCCTGCGTTCATAGGATCGAAATATGTAGTTTCGTTGTTTGATACTGGAGTCATACACTCGGCTTGTGGCTGAGAGTCTTGAGACGACACCGATGTGATTGGAGTTTGAATATTTTGGTCATAAACTGGATTAAGGTTTTGGAGTGGTTGTTGAGGGGGAAAGAGAAGAGAGGCCAGCCTCAAAACATCAGGATTAAGCAGAGACGATGCATTTGTTGCAACTGATGAAAAGTTTGGTTGATTGACAATTGCTGCTAAAAGCGAGGAAATATCAAGAAGATCAAGTCGTGGACAGTGAGTAACCGAGTCGATGCCACTCCTTACAAGTCGCTTGCGGATGTGAGTATTCCAATGGTTTTTTATTTCATTATCGGTCCTTCCTGGTAAACGAGCTGCTATTGCGGACCACCTATAATAAAAGAAACTAATTAGTGGTGCATAAATAATATATAGTTTATCTTATATTAAATGATAGGTCAGTGCGTATATAGTTTAGTAGAGTTGATGGCCTAACTGTTGAAATAAACTGTCCGCATGCATACGTACACCCTCGCTTTATTCATTAGTTTTTTTTTTTTTTTGAAACTAAAATAATGTATGGGCCGCTAATATTTATTTTCTATAGAAATTTCAAAAGGATTTTAGGTTTGAAGATTCGAACAAGTGAACTCTAACTAAATTTGTAGCTAATGGATTTTAAATAACTTATGGGTTAAATGAGGCTTACTTGTTTCCCATAACACTGTGTAGCTGAATGATAGTTTCTTCTTCCTCGAAGGAGAATCTTCCTCTTTTGATGTCCGGTCTTAGATAATTGGTCCAACGAAGACGACAACTTTTTCCACATCTTTGGAGTCCTTTAATTTGTAAAATACGACTTATAAGTGTTTGATTCAATTTATAGATAAAACATAATATATCAAGAGAAAACTAGAGTAAGGGACATGTACACTTACCAGCATTTTTAGGGAGGGTACGCCAATTACCCGGACCATGAAATCGAATATAATCGATGAGTTTCTGATCCTCTTCAGGAGTCCATGGTCCCTTCTTCACTCCATTCTTGTCACAACAAGGTGATCTTCCCATCTTTGTTTGGTAATTCCGAAAAAGATATACACACCGATGGACGTTAAAGTCTAGTAACCGTTTGCTTCTCTTATAGAAGTATTGAAGAGCCAAAATGAGTTTCTTAAATTTGAAGAGGAGTTGAGTTTTATAAATGTCAATGCGTGGGTGCACTCATACCTTCTCCGTTTCATTCGTTTATATAGGGATGTGAATGGAAGTCACTTAACTTGGATGAACCAAGGTCAATTCCATTTGGCATGTGTCTGAAGTGCCAAGTGTCCCTTTGAGCCACAGTATTATACTATACAAAAGCAAATACTAGCCTGGCGTAGACCGATTATATTATCGCCTTTTGTTTTATTTAACTATATATATTCAATTCTAGAAGCGATCCACGTGATAGTATGCTGTATATAAGCACTGCATTTTATATACTTTTTCATGTACTTGGATTCTGTCATATTTAATGAATGTACTTTTGGAGTGAATATAATCTACTTCTGTTTATAGAAAAAATAATTCAACTAAGAGGTTAAAACATACGGTAACTATTTGGTTGTGAGAGTAATTTGGTTCATCTCAATGCCTTATGGTGGTGAAGCGCGTAAATCACATTGTTGACTTTGCATGTTAATATATAGTTCAGTTGACTTTCCATGAATGTTTGTTTGGTTAAAAGATTTTAAAAAGTATGAGAATATATGTTAACGTTGAATTTTGAAACCCAAGGCGTAGAGTTTCAATGGGTGAGAGAGTGAGGACGGTAAAGTAGTTGGATACTCTCATCAAATACGCACAAATCTTTTTCAAATAACGTGTTAATGCCATGTGCCTTGTGCTATAAAAATTGATGATGACAAAGAAAATTACAAATTAACTTTTTACTTCATGCAACTCAAAGTTCAATAGCATAGATTGCTTGTGAAAGGGTCTCTCCAAACAAGCCATCCACGTTGACATTATTAAAAAGTAAGATTTGAAAATGCAAATCAATTGATGCTTTTTTTTTTTTGTTAAATTATTGGTGGAAAGCTGTGCAACCAACTTTGAATTACATAACCCCTTAACCCCAAAAACCACAGATTCTCCGAAGTTCACACCGAAGCTATTGTTATTTAAAATATGCTTACCCTCCTAATTAACGATGTGTGGAGACATGTAAAACATGACACGTTGAAATAGTTGCGTTGTGTGGTCGTAGTTTCACTTCTTTTGCATCATTCCATCAACTCTAGATTAGGTTTCCTTATTGGCAAGCGTCAGAGATATGATGATGATGTCAAGTCAAAGATTGTGTCAAGTCATTGCAGTGGAAACTTCTCGAAAAAGGCCTGCAAGCGACGTAATGGGCCACTAATCAGCTTAATTCTCATATTGTAATGGTATTCATCATTTGTTAAAGTGCGCCCATCATTTGTGGTTCTGTTTTCCATTCTCTGAATTGGTTTATTATGCAGAACCAGTTGAGAAAAATATGTTCTCATAAAGGTATTTTGAACAAAATGAAAAGTTTCAGTACGCTGACGTTGCCATTACAGTACACTATACGATTTTTAGCTATCAAATTGATAGTCTAATCCTCGACGAAAACATGACTAGCAAGAATTCATCGGAGGATATATACCAAATTTATACGGTATCAGAATCTCTATAAATCAATATTCAGTAAATTAATAATTTCTATAAATTAATAAATCTTGTCAGTTCCAATTTGTGCATATTTAAAATTTGACACAAATCGATAAAATAACAAGATAATATTTTTTTAGAAAATCTATGTAAATATATGGTTTCATTAAAATTATAATTTAATATTTTATATATATAAATATTTTCTATAAATAAGAACAGATCAATATAATGTTTATTTTATATTCACAATATAATTATCTTTATATTTTCTTAACACTTAATATATCTTTAATGAGATTTAGCAATATAATATCTAAAACCAAATTTATAATCTATGCAATCTATATTATACACACTAAATAATATAATAAATTAATATAAATGTCATATTTTACAAAATAATAATTAATAAATATATACTAATTTTTTCTTATCTTATAATAAATATATATTAAAAAAATCTAAATAATGAAACTTTTGTAAATTACTATCTCTATAAATTTATACAATTTTAAAGTCCCAACATTATTAATTTATAGAATTTTTACATTATGTGTTTAAAATATCAAAATATGTTAAATTTATAAAATCTAACAATCAAATAAATACTCTATTTCTATTTTATAAAAAGGACAATAAAGAAATTAGTATGAAATATAAACCCATACCTATTAGTTAAAAGAATATAAATTCTTACCATTTATATTTATTTATAATTTAATATTTAAAAAGATAAGAAAACATTCTAAAGACAATGGATTCCATGTCAACTCTAAGGACATCTTTATCCATGTTGCTAAGGGAGGGTGCTTATCCAAAAATAGCAACAGTTAGTGGGGTGGATCCCACCAAAAATAAATATTTGGTGCTTATAAGTCTTATATAAGCCACGATTTTGGAGGGTTGCTTCAATTATTCACGGGTCCCACTGACACGTGGCAGCCCGTGATTGGTTATTTTTAATTTTTTTTTTAAAAAAAAACAGATTAAAAAAATAAAAATAAAAAATATAGAAAAAAAATAAGCACCCCCTAATGGGGTGTTGGGATAAAGATGGCCTAACTAGATCTACATGTGCACAAAGATCATTAATGACGTATCCAAGTGCACAAAGGTCATTAATGGAAAATAATACAATAAACAATGTGCCTTTTAATTCAAAACTGTGTCCTAATTACCGTAATAAACAATATAGCATTAATTAAAATTAAAGTAAAACAGCAAATTTTAAAAAGGAAATCTTGATAGATATATCTTTTTTTTTTGATAGATATATCTTGAGGATCATCCCCAATACTCAAATCTTACTCTTTCAAGATTCTTTCATATCCCTCCGGAGACAATAATATTTTTTTTTTTTTGATAAAACACAATAATATTATATTACACTTTCTTTCAACACCTCAGAAAATCTAATGGTATGATCCCCTTTTCGGTTGTCTTTTGTATGATTAACGTTGTCTTTTTAAAAATATTGAATGTGTTCATCCAGTCACAGGCGAGCACTGAAAAATATGAGGCACTATCAGATTTTCTCAAGAAATTTTACATCCCTACGTACGTTCTCTCGCCTGACGTCGAGGCTGTGGCGGTCCCAAGTACTCCACCTGAGAGCCCAATTCTTGTATTCATCAACTCCAAAAGTGGAGGTCAACTCGGTGGAGAACTCATTCTTACCTTCCGTACTCTTCTCAACGAAAAGCAGGTCTAACCATATACTATTGACTCAATTATATAAAAACTAGGTTCATGATTCGATGATTTATTTATTTTTTATATTTTTGTCAAAAATAAATAAAAAAATATATATATATTTTTGTCATAAAACTTTGACTTCTCAAATACGCTAGTAATCGAGAAAATATGATGAATTTGTATTGATTCTTCATTGAGAGTATGTAATCCTATATATTTTTGTATTATTTTTAGTACATATCATATTATAATATTTGATCTCTTAATTAGGATATATTATAGTATTTTGATTATAACACGTTTTTTGTTGAGAAAAATTATAACAAGTTTGTTGATCAGGTTTTTGATCTTAACGTAGAGACTCCGGATAAGGTGCTACAGAGGATTTATCTTAACCTAGAGAGGCTAAAGGACGATTCTTTTGCTTGCCAGATTCAGGAGAAGTTGAAAATAATTGTATGTTAAAACCATATTTAAGGAGAAATTTGGTGGTAATTAACTAAGTCATTAAGTTGAGTCGTGTGTCGAATTAGGTTGCAGGAGGAGATGGCACAGCTGGTTGGCTCCTTGGAGTTGTTTGTGATCTTGAATTATCCAATCCACCTCCAATTGCTACTATCCCCTTGGGTACTGGAAATAACCTTCCATTTGCATTTGGATGGGTATGTTACATATACTATACAATGGTCAACATTATCATATCATACAGTATACATATGTTTTTTTTTCTTACTATAATCTCATATGCTCATTTTCAGGGTAAGAAAAATCCTGGAACAGATAAGTCCTCAGTGGAGTCATTTTTGGCTCAAGTGATTAAGTCCAAAGAGATGAAGATAGACAAGTACTTATTTTACATAAGTATCATTATCTTCAAATTATTATTATTTTTCTTATTTTGGTTTGACATGTATGCATTTTATCTCAACTAAGTTGGCACGTACTTATGAGGATGAAGTCTCCTGAAAAAGGCTCTTGTGATCCTATCGAGCTACCACCTTCTCTACATGCATTTCTTCCTTGTTCTCCATCAGATCAAGCAAATATGGTACTGCATTTTCTTCTCTTGCGAGCCATTACTTTATTTTCCTCGTAAGCAATGTTCTTCGATATTTTTCAGGAAGGTTACCAGACATTTCGTGGGGGATTCTGGAATTACTTTAGTTTGGGTAAGAATATTTTTCTTTGACATAATATTTTTTTCAGCATGGAAATTGCAGTTAGGGATCCCCCTTAATTAATAGTTTGTGTTGTTGTTATTTTTGTGGAAAATACAAAATATACAAAGTGACCTGTTTCCTTGACTTGTTAACATCACTAATCAATTTTATTGCAGGAATGGATGCTCAAACATCTTATGAATTTCATTCCCAAAGAAAATTACACCCTGAAAATTTTAAAAATCAGCTGGTCAATCAGGTTTATATGCTTTGCTCTATAAGTTTTTCTTTCTCTAATGTTTTAGTAGAACAATCTCTTCTTATTTTTTTGTGATTACATCTTCTAGTGTGAACTATACTAAGAATAGATGAAAAGTAAATATTTTCATTGGTTTTATGGCGTTCCAGAGCACATATTTAAAGCTTGCTTGCAAACAAGGGTGGTTTTGTGCCTCTCTTCTTCACCCGTTTTCACAGTGAGTAAATTTATGTGTTTTTATTTCTACTGTTTTCATATGAGTTTTTATTTTCCTATTTCGTTTTGTCTCTTAAAACCATGTAAATTGTGAAAAACTCTAATATTCTATGGCTTTTGCTGCAGTAACATAGCTCAGCTAGCACAAGTTAAGATTTGTGACAAAAGTGGCCAGTGGAATGACCTTCACATTCCCCAAAGGTAACTCTAATCAAATTATATATATTGACCACGCCATGAAAAGGATATACTAAGCTCTTTGTACAACCATATGAATCCACAATTTCACATGATAGATTAAGCTGAGATTTTAGTATTTTTCGTGATGAACCTTAATTTGCTGATCAATACCTAAATACTTGACATTTACTTTTGTTCTGGCAGCATCAGGTCCATCGTATGTTTGAATCTTCCTAGCTTTTCTGGAGGACTAAATCCTTGGGGAACACCAAAACCCAAGAAACAACGTGATGTAGGTTTTAACATTCTCTTCACATTGCTTTAATAATCCTACTAGAAATAAATGGTTTTGATTTCTTTGTCATGTCTCAACAGAGAAGACTAACTCCACCATTCGTAGATGACGGACTCATCGAAATCGTTGGTTTTAGAAATGCATGGCATGGTCTTGTTCTCCTCTCTCCAAAGGGTCATGGAACAAGACTTGCTCAGGTAAGTATTAAGTGAGAAAATTCATACAAAATGTGAGTGAAGCGCACATTTTAACTCGTGTGTCGGTGTGTGTGTAATTTATATTTAGGCAAACCGGATTAGGTTTGAATTTAAGAAAGGTGCAGCAAAGCATGCATACATGAGAATGGATGGAGAGCCTTGGAAACAACCACTGCCACTTGATGATGAAACTGTGATATTAGAGATTTCACATCATGGACAAGTCAACATGCTTACAACCGAAAATTGCAAGTCCAAAAGCATGCATGAGTCTTTTCCCAGAGTCCGGTTTAGTGATGATAGAAATGAAGATGAACCATTAGGGGCTCATTGTGAAGAGGTGTTTAGAAAGTTTGGTGCAGCTGATACATTTAAGATTCCCAATGATGTTTGATATTCTTTCTTTTTCCAGAAGATAAATGTTTTGTTAATTAGAAACCATAAATTTTAAAGTATTTTATATTTTTATTAATTAATAATTATAAATTTTTAAAAGACAAACTAATTTATTAAACTATTATTGTTTAAAATGATTAAAATATTAATTAGATGTAAATATGTTTTTGTTTAAAAAAAAGTGAAATTTATCTATACTATTATTTGAGAAGTGAATTTGATGATTTGTTATTTTCGATGTTAGGCTAAGTTATTAATTTATATAAACAGTTTTAATTAGACTAATTAAAGTTTTGTTATCTTTAGTAAATAATTATATAATTCATTATCTAACTGAATACAAATTAATTTTTTTTTTTAAAATATCTTAAACATAAATGCAAAACGTGTTTTGAAAACGAAAACATAATTCCATGTATTTGTTTATCTACATCTTTCTTTCTTGTTTTTTAATTTTTATAATTATTGGTCTATATACACATAAAATAATTATATTTATCATTATACTAAAATATTTAATATAGATATTTTAAAAATAAATTGAAAACATTTTTGAAAAAAGAAGATATATTGATGTATTTATATTGTGTTTATTTGCATATTTCTTTATTATTTGTTATTTTTATAATTAGTAGCATATAATAACTAGATTTATCATTATAGTAAAATATTTAAAATAATTGTTAAAAAAGTAACAAAAATTGATTTATATCTACAATTTTATTTGAGAAGTGATTTTGTTAATAATTCAAAACATATGGATAGTATGGATAATTCATTGATGAATAGTAATGATAAAAAAAAAAAGAGGTTAATTTTAGGTTTGACTTAAAATTGTAGGTTGTTTTTGAAAAACACCATAAATTTAATGATACCCTTGATGAATTTTTATATAATTTACTATATAAATTAAAGGTGAAATTTATATAAATAATATTAGGTTTATATGTTATACTAGATTATTATAATGAAATTTTCCAAAAATATATTTTTTTTTAAAGATATAAACAATTTCAATTTAGTTATTAATCAGGCAAAAACAATTGTATACGGATATTTTCTAAATTGTTTCTAATATGTGAGTGTTTTTAAAATTTCAATACAAGAATAAGTATATATTTTCCGATGAAAATTTTGTCATATATCATACTTTTTTAGACTAAAATATATAAACTAAACTTTTATTTGAGAAATGATTTTTCGTATTCAAAATCTCATGTTTAAATTTAGAGAGGCTAAAGTCAACGACACCCTTAATGAATTTTTGTAAATAATTTATTATATAATTAAAAAACAAAATTTCTATTAATAGTATTATGTTTATATTTTGTCCTAGGTTATTGATTATAGATTAATATGATAAAATTGTCAAAAAAGATATTAAAAAAATTCGTGACAAAATAAGTGTTGTTTTCGGTTTTCAATGCAAAATTTATTAATTTTATTATGTAATTTGTTTTTTTATTAGTTAAAATGTGGTTAGGTATATAGATAATTGAGTTTTTATATAGAAAATATGTAAAATTAATTATTTTTTTAATCTCTGTGCACAACTATAAAATGACACTTATAATGATACATATGAAATATTTTTTTAGCTTCGAGAAGATAAATAAAAATTCGAAAACATAAAATTTAAAGTTGTTTATATATAATTTTCTATTATAATTATTAAATTTTAAAAAGACTAATTAAGTTTGTTGAACTAACATTTGTTTAAAGTTATTAATATCTTAATCAGATTTTAGTTTTGTTTAAGTTATTAAAATTTTGCGTCCTTTTATGCCAGTTCTATGTTTCCAACCAATGTAAAAAACAATGAAACCAAGCTCTCCCATACAAAGATCTCGAATAAGAGGCAAAAGACAACATAAATTCTGGATACTATGTGATCGTGCTAACTTGTTGAAGTGCAGAGAAATCGATGCCATGAATAAACTCGATGATCAAATAGGACATCAACATATGTAGCAAAATCAGCAACATACACACATAAAAATGTTGAACAATATACTAAAGGAAATTTTAAGGGAAATACTGTCTGGTTGATATAAATAGACTGCTGTATGGAGTGGAAGATCACCAAAAACTGTAAATTTAGGAGTGGCTTTCTAAAACCAAACCCCCCGAACCCACACATTTTAAGGGAAATACTGTCTGGTTGATATTTTAAAAATCAGCAACACACACACACACAAATGATGAACAATATACTAATGGAAATTTAGGGGAAATACATTCTGGTAGAGATATGGAGTGGGAGATCACAAAAAACTGTCTCCATCCAAATTCAAATGAGTGAAACCCTAATCTAAAACCTAGACCACTTTATGACCTTATTTAAAAGAAAGGTCTCATGGGACAAGAAGCAGAGGAAGAAGACGAGCATTGTGGAAAGTGAGAACTGTCCAAATCATCCCAAAGAGGACTTTCAGGACCCCATCCCGCTGTAACCGCATTCAACCATGCCTCAGCCATACCATCACTCACTGCTTCTTCCTTGTTTTCCAAGTTAACCTCGTTTGTCTCCAGCGCTTCGGATTGCTTCTGATCCAAGGAACTTGACGCGTCAGTTTCTTCATGCATCTCAACTTCTTTATTCACATAATGCTCAGGAAAATTAAGTGTGGCACTATGACCCCTCAATATAAAAGCTTGACGGTCATAGGCCATGGCAGCTTCTTCAGCTGTATCAAAGGTACCAAGCCAGAGACGTGCTCTGCTCTTTGGCTTACGTATCTCCGCGACCCATTTTCCCCACTGACGTTGTCTTACTCCTCTGTACAGCTTGGTTGCGCTGTACGGCTGAACACTCTCTTGGCTCAGATTCATTGTGTTGTTCCAATACGTGGACATATACTGCTGCTCCTGTTGGGGACTAAACGAGATCATTTGCTTCTGGCCTTGCATTGCCGGGTCCTGAAAGTATCCGAGTTTTTGTTGTTGTTGATTTTGAGTGGTTGGATCGAGAGTAAAAGGGAAAGCCGCTAAGGGATCAGAAGAAGAAGATGAAAATGGGGAATAGGGTTTAGGTGGATGATCATATTCTCTCATCTTCTTGATAGTTTTACCTTTGTTGTTACAAAGATTGAGCTCCTCGTCAAAGTCCATCTCTGTCTTCACAACAACAAGAAAACCTTGAAAAGGAACTAACGAAGAAGAGAGAATCTTGTGTTTGCTTTTGTCTATTTACTTACAACAGAGAGATGACTCAATGGGGTTTATATATTAAAGTTAGTTAAAAATATCTCAGCTTTCGGTTGCTATCTCATCTTTTTGGTGTTACTTTGCTTCCACTCTAATTCATATTTTAAAAAATTAGCATATAAGAAAAGAGAGACGTTGACACATAAAAACACAACACGGAGATACAGACCATTTAATGTCCGTACGACTATGTGGCATTCTCTGTTTTTTGGACGGTGAAGACATTTCATTTATTCATGTTTTATGAACGCGACAAGTCAGAAGCTCTTATGAGATGAGATTATTATATCAATAATCAAGAGATTGCCGAGGTTAATGCAAATTGAAATGATGATGATGGTGTTGGTGGTTTTGGTAATGGTCGGCTAGCCGCGGCTAAGGATAACATCCCCCACAAGAATTGCCATTTTGATGACAACTTATTCATTAGGGCTATGTCTATTATTTATTTATTTACTTACTTGATTATAGTATTTCAGTCTTCTGGGTCGGCCATTGGTCAAACTAAGCTTTCACTTTTTATGATATTTTTGTTCTTTTCTCCACCTCTAAAAGATACTCGTAAAACCGACCAATTTATTCTTCTTCTTTTTGGTTTTAAACACCGACCAAGTTTGAAAAAAATAGAAGTTCATTAATCAGATAAAATCATTTTTGTTCGTAACTAATTTCAACATGTTATCTTGCGTGCATATATATGCATGATGTTTATCATCATAAATTATAAATGTAGATGTTTCATATCGAAATCCAAACTAAATTTTTGGAACCTGTAGTTGGTACAACAAATTTTAGTTGGAAATAAAGTCAACCAAATGTGAAAGTTTTGTATTAAGAAATTCGAAAATTTGAATTAAACTTGTTTCTTTTAGTTACTCTCATAGAAGTTTTTATAGCTTCTAGATAATATAACGCTGTAGGCTGTAGCCTTTAGGTCTAAAAAAAGCTTGGTAAATAGACGATTCAGTTAGTGCTAGTCTAGTAATTACTTGTTAGCCCCGTTATCACGAATATTGTCACGATTTGGAGTATATAAACAAAAATTAGAGAACCGGAGTTTATACAATCAGAAAGACACAAAACATTAGAAGAGATTAAATGTATTAGGCCCATCATCCATCATGCACACCCAAAACCAAATCTAAGAAGAAAACATTTTGAAGAAAAAATAAGTGCATGTTCCAAATGTTATTCATTAACGTTGGATAGCTCTAGCTACTCTTAAAACACAAACTAATTATATTGTTAACCAAGTATGAACCTAAAAAACACTATTCTGTTATCAGAGATGATAAGGAGTAGTGGTGAAGTAGGTGAAGTCATGGTGGTGGACCCTTAGCTGCTTTAACCAAGAATCTGCTACGCTCAAAAGGCAAAGCAATCTATCATTGTCCCATAGTCTCCCTTGCATTTTGTAAGTGGCCATCCCAAATGCACCAACACTTATCCTTTCCCTCTTCTCTTTCTTCACATCTGTTACAATGTCACAAAATAAAAATTAAAGGGGTCCTATAGAAATGAATGTACATAAAAAATATACACAACCCCAAGAGGTAAGTGAAACTGCACCTTGGAAAGATGAAGAAAGTGTGTGGTAAGTGAGGAAGCAAGTAGACAAGTCCTTTATGCTTCGGTTCATGGGGATGTGATAGATAGGATACCTATACATAACCAACATCATAACTATTTTATTACATTGATTTTAATCTTTCTGAAACCACACAAAATAATAAGACATTAGGCAGACCAAGCAACAGCCATCCAACTCGCAGGAGACAGATCAACACTCCTCAGTGACCACAATCCTGCATATCTTTCTCCCTGCTCTTTGATCTGAAAGTAAACATAGATTTCTCTAAAATGATAAAGTACGTACCAAACTATTACAAGCCACTATAAAGACAAGAACATATCAGGCTTCAAGAATAAACCTCTAGAAAAAATGCTATAAAGACAATAACATATCATACTTCAAGAATCAACCTCTTTAAAAAAGCTATAAAGACAAAAAAGATATCATGCTTCAAGAATAAACCTCTAGAAAAAACTATAAAGACAAAAACATATCATACTTCAAGAATCAACCTCTAGAAAAAGCTAAAAAACAAAAGAATATCATGCTTCAAGAATCAACTCCAAATCCACCAGCTTAGGAACAGAGCAAACCTTGTCCATAAGAGGTGCTCGAGAATAAGGAGTGCATCTCTCAAAATACTGCAAGTAAGAGTAACCGAGACGATCCAAAGGTTCTTGATGATCCATTCCTTCCTCTGATGAAGACCATCCTTCCCATCTCCATTCCTCGCTACACGTCTCGCTCCCTGAGTCTCCAGACTCAGTCTCCTCCCTCCATCATCATCATCAACGGCAACAACATCTTAGATCACATACATATGTTTATGTTGTTTTCTGAAAAAGGCCTTAAAGAATGTTACCTTAGGGCAATAAGAGCAGAATGAGAAGTGAAAATCTGGATAGCAGAGAGGTAAGGAACATAGTATTGGACCAATGTATCACCATTTTCCGACAAGATGGGAACACCTGCACCGTATGCGCTCCACTCATCGAAACAATCCCAAAAATCACTTAACCTGAAATACTCAACGCTCTCGCTCTCCAAAGGGTACCATAGACTATTCAGGTTCTTGATCTGTGTCTGTCAAACATCAAACCAAACACACACAACTTTTAGATCCTATGAGAGTTGCTTTAGGAAGAAGATGACAATGAACGTTAAAACGTGAAAACCTTTGGGAGAGAAAGCGAAGGGACAACTGGTGTTGTGCAACGTAGGAAACGGTCCAGGTTGGATTCATTTTCATAAAACATCATTTTCCAAGAAAGCAAAAAAAAAAAAACTATACACAGAAACAAAACAGAGAGGAGGTAAGAGAGAGTCTTGTGTGATTCTCTTTCCCTGACACGTTTCAAAGAGCTACACTTTCGGACAAAAGTGTTTCTTTTTTTCTTTCTGTTATGAGCGTTTGAGACTTTCACGGCAATGTCAGAAAACAGAGAGATCCAGAGAAGACTATGTTTTGATAGAAAAGCAATGACTTTGAGCAGACAAAAGAATGCAAAATGTAATTTAGAAAAACAAAGTAAAATGTATCTAACTTTTAAAAGAGAGTTGTGAAAAATAGGTTATATATAAGTTTATGTAACCAAACGCATAATGTGACTCATTCTTATGAGGTAGGAAGAGGATACATTGGTAGATTTACCTGTCCCTCTCACAACTCTCCACCTTCTCCATTTATTTTTCATTTTTTTGGTTTCTCTCACTTTGTTCGGATAAGACTGAGTTTCATTTGGGTCATTGCATTGTTAGTTGTTGTATAGTCCGTGAACAAAACAAGAAAAACGAAGCTTTTTCTGTGCTAGAGATGACATCTTTTCCACAAGCCTAGTTGGTTGGTTACATTTTGAAAGAAAAGAAACTGGATCGATCACATTTTATTTAAAAACAAGAGAAGAAACTAGGTTAATTAAACAGTGAATAATAATTTGTTTTTATAACTCATATGGTGGAAAAGAAAATCATTAAGAAAGGAAAGGACATGTGTGACAGGATCAGTCGGCTAATGTTGTTAATTATTTATAGTACAAGTTTGACCTATTCAAATAGTACGACATGGGAATGATAAACATAAGGAAAGACTTTGACTTTGGTTAAGTATCTTTCTAATCAAAAATATAATATACCGCTAACTCACGTAAATCATGTAATTATATAAACAAACTTACTAGTTTTTGACCTGCGCTTAGAAAGCGCGGATTTGATTTCGATTTGTTTTAATAGTTATGAAATTCAGATTTTTGTGTAGTCTATGAAATTTGGATTTTATATCATATAGTTGTGTTTTAAGTTTATTTGGGATTAAAAAGATCGAAAATTTATAGTTATGAATAGTTTATAGTTATGAATATTTGTAATAGTTTTAATAGTTATGAAATTTGAGTTTTACATCATATAGTTATGTTTTATGTTTATAGGCTTGTTAATTATCTTGTTTTATCAAATTTTTATGATTTATAGCCTACACGTGGGAGGAGTTCTCTTTGTAAATTATAATTGTAGGTTTTAAATCATTATTCGTAAACAATCTCAGAAAAATCAAAACATAGAATGAAACAGAAATAAATTATTATAGAAAATCAAAACAACAAACTAAAATAATATCAAAGATTCGTCTATGTATTATTGATCATCTTCTAACAAACCCCAAGAAAAGAGGTCTTTTTATATGACGAATAGAGAACATTGTTGAACGTTTTGATTTCTTTCATAACATGTCGGACCTCTTACAATATTCAGCAAGACACGCAAATAAAATACCTCGTCAATTTTTCATAGAGCATTGTTGATTCTCCTAATACTAAATATTTTTTATCATTAAACTTTCGATCTTTTTTATTCCAAATAAATCTTGTAAAAATTTCAGCCGGAATTAGTTTTCCACCAACAATAATGACCTTGTTTAATTCAAACCAGCTGCAGAACATTGTATTTTCAATTAGAACGTGGGTAGTCTCGTCCAAGAAAGTAAACTACATATTGTTCGCCATTTTTTTCATGTGTTTCTATGATTGATGAACATCGTGGTTAATTAATGTTATATTTATAATAGATAGAATATGTTTCAGATTTCATAAATAATAAAAACCCGACCCAACATTATTCGAACCGATCCGATCCAAAAATGTTGATTTTAAATAATTTTTACACATTTTAACCCGAATAATCTAAAACTCAACCTGAAACATAAACTGGAATGTCCAACACTAAGCACAATATAGTTACTTTTATTTGTTTTAGTGAATATTATTTTTATATAAAATTAAGTCTTTATATTTTTTCTTAGTTAAAACTTACATAATTTATATTGCTATACTTGCTAATATTATTATAATATTATTATGTTAAATATAAGGATTTTTTTCGAGAAATAAAAAATAAAAATGTAATTTTTTTTTTTTAACTTAAATATAAAAATGTTATTGAATGACTCTTTCAATGTTTCGTAGAAATAAGGTCAAAATATGTACTTTGTGATATTTTGGTTTATACGTGGGTACGCATAGACCTTAATGTAGATTTACCGGAAGAGTAGTTTTTAACCAATGAATTGTAGTAATATTTATTCCATAACACATCAAACTTAACGTTATGTCAAATTTTTTAATTTTATGGTTCAGTGAAATATTACGTTTCTACCCCCATCTTCTTCATTTTTCACATAACCCTAGTTTATGCCTCTGTTTCTTTTCCACCATTGTTCTCGATAATACCTACAATTTTTTTTTGTAAATGTTATATGGAGTTGACACATTTTATAGCGTAACAATCAATTTTGAAGCTTTAACCTTATATTATATAAACTTGAAGAAACTTGATTTCAGTTTCTCAGCTCCATAAGCTGTTTAATAAACAAAATATAATACGTTCGTGTTTCTTTCAAACCAAGGTCTATGCAGCCAATACGCAGATGGCTGTATATATCACCGTTTCAGTCTAAATCACCACAGACCTCACCGTTGTGCGTGTCGTAATCGAGTAGGAGTCTTAGTTTTTGAACAGATGTCTTGTTTAAGAGTAGTGGTTGATTAAAAAAATAAAATAAAAGGTAGAGATTGATTTAATTTATGTAAGGTTCGACAAATAAATTTTGGTTATAAATAATAGTTTGGAGTAAAAATGAAAGGGTCCAACAACCTTTCATAGGTAGATTTATTTAGACTCCTTCTCTTTTAATAGTATAGACTAGATCTTGATCCGCACAACCGTGCGGATTATCTTTTTACTTATAGTTTATAAAACAATTACCAATAAATAATAATATATTTACTTATAAAATTTCACAAAATATTAAAATAATAGATGTTGAAGTATCATATTTAAGACAACATTAAAATATAAATTGTCATTAACAAATATTTATCTATAGTATATCTAAATAAATATTAAAATATATTGTATGCAAATTGCAGAAACTAAAATTCTATATCATAGAAGATTATATTTTAATTATTTCAGATTATAATTTATGTAGCAAACTCAAAAATATATTAGTAAGTAATAACAATCAATAAGAATATAAATTAAAATATATAAAAAATACTATATATTAATAATGACGAATAAGAAACTTAAACAACAAAATTATAGAGGTATATAATATATAACATTAAATGTAAATCATATATTAAATTTTTTTATAATAATATCAAAGTGCTATATTTATAAAATGAAAAAAATTGTGTGGGTCAAAATCTAGTATATAGTATTTTTTTATTTACGATTTAGGAATATATAGTGCAATCTACATAAATTTTAATATCTTAAACAAAAAAAATTGTATTTCAAATAAAAGATAAAGATATGGGTAATATTATGGAAAGACAATTTAAGAAGATGCCAAAAAGATTTTGTTGGATTTATTTCATTTGTGTTTCAAATAGAAAGATAAAGATATTTAAAGATATTATCATTAAATTATATAACATTTGATAATCTTCATAATCTTTCTAAGAAATAGTTCATTTTTCTAAAAATCACACATGAATCAAGGTTGTGACTTCTGTTTTAATATATAAGATATAAAAATAAGATTTGATCCGAGAATGAAACTATAGAAAGGGTCAAAAATCGAAGGTTGCATTATCTTTTTGTTTACCAACTTTGAAAGAACGAAGTGATCAAACTCTTTCAAATTGGACGCCGTCGTCTCTCCATTTAAATCTTCAGAATCACAACTTGCTATAAAAGAAGAGATTCGATTCTGTGGACTACAAGACCCATCAAGAGTTGGGCTTAAACAATCGTAAATCCGTTTTTTTTTTTTTAACACAAACAATCATAAATCCGTAAAATCACTATTTACTTAGTTTTAAAATAAATAAAATAAAAATTTGTTTCAAAAAAGTGTTTTGCATACAGTATTTATGAAATTTTAATTAATTTATGATGTTAAACTATAAACTTTAAAAATTAGCTATACATATTTAAATAGGCTATTAGGTTATACTTGTAGAAAATAACTAGACATAAAAATATATATATATATTTCAATCAATTTTTAATATACTTATTAATACGTGTAAACACACACAAAAATACATCATTTAAAAACAGAGTACTAATTAGCATTTGTGGCGAATGGGGTGACTGATCATGCACTTATGACTTAACTCACCGCCAATGTAAAAGATGTCACCAGACTTTGTAGGCTCTTTTTTGGCAAATAAAGCACTTGTTAATGTTCGTTTTAATGTACACATAATTAGCTTGAACCATTTTTTCACTCTATAAAGAACCCCCCGCACTCTCTATTCCTCATTCCCTCCACAAACCAACAAAACATTCAAGCTCCAACTTTATCCTCCACTAAGAACACAACAATGGCTTCTCCTCTGCAAACACTGATCCCCACAATGGTTCTGCTAAGCCTGGCTATTGGATGTGCAGAGAAAGTGAGTGGAATGCGTTACATTCCCAACTTCTTCACTACTACTAGTGAGCCAAAACACTCAGAGTTTGTTGTGAGCATTGCACCCCAACCAGCTGGTCTCATCCCTAGACTAGGAAGATTCTTGCTGCCTCCCCGATCTAAGAGGCCATTCCATCCTTACAACGATCCAGTTGCTGCTGCTCCAGCCACTTCTTATGGAATCCCTAGTAGTTTTGCCCCACACCCTGGATATGAAGCTTCCGGTCCGAGCTCTAGAGAAGATGAGATTCCACCAGTCCCACAACCACTTAAACCAGTTAACGCATAAGCATTTGCTAAATGCAAAAGGGTCTACCATCTTGATATTGTCAGAGTCCTTTTTCTATTTTACATAAAAAGTCTTCTAGCCATTTCATCAGTGTCATATCTTTGTTCTCTTCTTCTTCTCTCACAACAAATAAAGATGTAATGTATTAAAAAATCATGAGCATTTGCTTGTATTGTATTCTAAAATATAATGAGAATGTGTTTCCAAATAACATGTAAAGATTCCATATTGCTGCAAACTGTTCCCCAGTGAGAAACAAGAAAATGTATAGAAAAGGTAAACAAAGAATGATGATTTATACAATCTTTCTTAACTGTTTTCAACAGAGATTGATAAGCGAGATAGCAATCAAAAACTCATCTCAGCATTAGCGTTTAAAATCAACCAAAAACAGCTTAATGCGACAAAAAGTTATTACCGCCAACAAAAATTAGCTTTCACCAAGTTCATGCTGGAGGACGCTTATTTTTGTCGCATCTTTGACTTGTTACAAAGTCCAAAACAGGACCAAATTTAAAGTGTAGTGGATACAAACCCCTTGATTCATGCAGCGAGGTTTAAATTTACAAAGAGTAGAGAGAAGCAAAAAGATAATGTTAAAGAGAGTTTCACTACTTATTTGTCTATACAGTCTTTTAAGGGTACGTATGATGTCACACATAACCTCTTTGTTTGTATTGTAGATGAGTGTATGTGAGAGATAAACATCAGTGTTGATAGTTGATACCTTCTTCTTCCTTCTTCACCTCAACAGCTACTTTCTCCAGAGCTGCCTCGGGCTTCTTGATGGGGCTTCTTCTCGCGGCACTCGGGCCACGAATGCTCGTGGCCGGAGACTGTGAGCGACGTCTTGGACCTTCTAGTAACCCGCTTCGTGAGAGAGGATCCGAATCCACATCTCGCCGGTTGTGTGTAGGGTTTGGTTGGTTATATGGTCTCTCTCGAACCATCCTTGGACGAAGTTTCCCCTGAGGCGAGTGTCTTCTGGAGATTCTTTCAGACATGTTGCCGCGAGAGGAAGAAGGAGGATGTCTGCGGGGTTTGCTGATAGCTTCGTCTTCGAGTATGGAAGCATTAGTAGCAGTAGTAGTGGCGGTTGAGAAACTGTTAGAGACGCTGCAAATGTCTGACTTGTTGTGAGAGAGCTCTGGTGATGAGAGTGAAGGAAGAGGGTGGTGAGCTTCTGAGTCTGAAACTTCGGGTGCGAGGGGAACGATGTCGGGGACAGGGACGGAGACGGATTGGACCACGACTTCCTTCACGGTTTCTTCTTCAATGTGTGGAGGAATCTTGGCGGCGGAGACAGGCGGAGCTGCGACTTTTCCGGCGCTCAAGCAGCATCCCATTTCTTTTTCTACTCTTCTCTCTCAACTCTTGAGATATACGAACTATCCTTAATGGGCCTATTTGTACAAGATGGTTCATAACTACTCTGGGATCCATTTATGCCTTCTTATAGTATTATTTTAATCTACTCTGACGAATCCAATCTTTGTCTCATTGATACTTTCAAGACAAAAAGACAGTGCTTTTGTTCGTTGTAAAAAGATACTTTAAAGAAAAAATTCAAAATTTCATGATGGTGGACAATATCTAGCTTGATACTGACCCGTCATTGCCGAGACAATTTCAATTCACAAAGATGGACATGCATATTGCGGCAAATAAAAAAGTATATATACATGCATCCAGAAAACTCTCTTGTGCTAGTGCAAAAGCTATTGGGGGTGAACCAAAGGACAAAGAAGGTGGTCTCGTATCACACGGTTCCATGGTGGAAATATAACGTTCAAGCTTATACCATCGTTATTCTGGTAGTCAATATTTATATCATCATTCTCCAATAAGGAATGTCTTCCAAGTTCCAAGTTTGAAACCTAATGGGAAGGGCCTAACCATATGGTCCACATCCTTTGAAAAATGCTGCTAGTAAAATCACCAGCCGTAACTTTTTATTACGGAAATACCACCAAAACAAGTAGAGCTCAAAAAGGGTCAAAGCCCATTAATATTTTACAAACCAAACTCAAAAAGAAAAAGACAATACCATTGTAACATTGTTTTTTTTTTTTTTTTTTGTAAACTACCATTGTAACATTGTTACTGAATCCGTAACAATAAGTTCACCTCCCACGTACTTTTTGAAATCAACTAGGATGAAAGAGTGTTTAGAGTAAAGATGTTGACATCATTGTGTCATATTTTCCCAAGATACATTGTATCAACTGATCATATTGTCCAGATAGTAATGTATAAACTGAACATATATAAGCGTAGGCTAAAATATTCTCTGTAAGGATGTTGACAATACTATTTTATTTTCTTCCATTTTTTCTATAATGTAAATACAATAAAAACAACACATACCAAAACATAATTCACTAGTCTCTTGTTAGGTTATTAAATAATGAGTTCCTTTTTTGTGCACTAAATAATGAGTTCCTTTTTTTTTTTTTGAGCAACAAATAATGAGTTCCTCGAACACAAAAAATATACGTATAGATATAGATATGACATTGGGGTTTGAGCTAATTGCAGAACACCTAGACATAGATTATAGTTGTCAATGACGTCGTCCTCATGTACTTGGTTTCCTAGTTGTTTTATAGAGAATACTCCGAGGTCATGTCTAGTTTGATACAACTTGTTTTAGGTAACCAAGTACACGAGGAAACTTGTATATAGTATATACTAATAGAAAAACAAGTTGTATCAATGTTTAGGAGTAGACAACTAGTTTGATACAACTTGTTTTTTCTATTAAATACATAATATATACTAAAGAAAAAGGAATATCCCCTATACATTATTTGTGAAGTGATTTTGCCACATGTCATCTCTAGAATCAATTTCACAAAAAAATGGTGACATATCTATTAGAATTGATGACATGACATATGATTAAATATGACATGGACAATTGCATTTAATGTTAATATATATATTTGGAAAACTTTATAGAATATGGTAATAACTCATATATTACATTTAATGTCGATTTATATTTTTGGAAATATTTTTAAAATATGTTAATAACTAATAAATCATCATTAAAATAAATATATACCAATGTGGCATTAAAAATTTCGAAAATATCATTTAATTATATATTTTAAAACTATACAATTTTATTACAAAAATTTCAAAAATGTATACATTTTTCAAAAATTATGAAAATTTAATCCTAAAATTATTAATTTCTTATATATTTAAAAAATTAATAAATATTGTCTTATTTTAATTTTTGATAATTATACAATTTTCTACAAATTTTGTTTAATATATTTAATTAAAATAAATAGATAAAAAATTATCTAAGATTATAATTTTAAATATATACATGCATATTCTTAAATATAATTTAAAATAAACAAAAATATTTTTATATTACTTTTTATGTTTGATTAAACAAAAATTTGTATTAAAATAGTGATAAGAAAAAGAACTCATAAATTATCATTAAGATAATAAATAATATAATAGTAGAAATATAAATATAATAAAATTAGAAATATTGAAATATTTGTAAGTGTATTTTTATAATTATATATTTTTTTATTAATAATTTTTTTTTTCAAAATTTTATGCAGTTTTTTTAAAAATTAAAATTTTATAATCCCAATACCATTAGATTTATTTATAACATCTATAAATTTTAGAAATATTATTTAGTTTTATATTTTGATATTTATATATGTAACAAAATTTCTCTTAATAGTATAGAATCTGATTTAATATAATTTAACCAAAAGATAAAAGATACATATATATTATTAAATATAAATTTAAGAATTTTTTTTTAAGATAAACCTAAAAACAAGTTTTAATCACAAATATAGAAGTTAAAATAAAAATGACCAAGATAGACTTAAATGTTTTATCAAAAATAAGTAAATATGCACTTTTATCATTTGAGTTAACTAATCGTAAACTTTTTTGTTTAAAGTTGAGGAGTGTAGTTTTGGGGATAGGATTACAAATTTTTAAAGAACAAAATTTGAAATTTTCAAAATAAAAAATAATGTTTTGGTCATTTTAGTTTTAAGATCTATTTTGTGCAAAAATCTAAAAAAATTCTATTTGAGAGAACTGTCATATATTTAAATAAAAATGTTCCTTTTCTCTTAATTTTTACATATAATTAATGTAAAATTAATAATGTAATAAAATAATAAATTTAAAATTAATTAAATTTTATTTTTAAATATAAATTTATTTATTTATTTTTTTTTTTTGTCATCTATATAAATTTTATTTTTTAAATATAAATTTATTTTTAAAACTCTTATTTCTGGACATGGTGCAGTAAGCCACCTAGTATATACTAAAGAAAACAAATAAGCCACTGGGGGGAAATGGCTCAGTTAACGATGAACCCTGAGGAAAGGGAAGAACCCAAGATTTGCAGAATCTCCAAGAGAAGTAAGAGGAATTAAACAAAACAAAATGACTTAAAATCAAGAGTTGTGAACAAGTACAATGAAAAAAAGGAGCTATGACATTATCAAATATTCAAATCAAAGAAGACTTGACACAACCCTATTCCTCAACTTCTTCCTCTTCTCTTGTCATAAATCTCTCTTCTCCCCCACCGCCTCGTCTTCTGCTATATTATCGACCACAAATGTCTCTGATATCCCTACACTGTTATCATGTTAGGTTATGTATATATATATTGGATACTAATATAATAATATCTATAATGCAGAGGTCCCACGAGCTTTGTTTTTGTTGGCCAGCTGCTAATTTCACATCGGCCAGAATAAAAACACACTTCTTTTGTATAAGAGTTTTCTTTATTTTCTCTCTATCTCTCTCTCTTTCTACTTATTAACACTCTCTCTTCTCCCGAAAAGTCCCTTAAGAAGCTTTTGCTTTGATATCAGATCTCTCTCTCTCAGTCTCACCTTTTGAGATGCGTGCTCCTTTAGGGTTTTCCTTTTATACCCCAAAACGAGGCCTTCCTTTCTCTCCTCTCTCTCATACGTTATAAAGAAGGGATCCAGAGACAAGAGATTTACTGAGAGATGGCGAATGTGGAAGAGATACAATGTGGGTCGATGTTGTTCAGACAAGAGGATCTGCAAGAAATGAGTGGGGTCAATGTTGGAAGCGGTTACGTTGAGGTGATGTGTGGTTGTACTAGCCACCGGTACGGTGATGCCATTGCTAAACTTAGGGTTTTCCCCAACGGCAATCTCGAAATCACCTGTGAATGCACGCCCGGTTGTGACGAAGGTCTCTCTCTTTTGATCTCTATCTCTGTCTTTTCTGATGATTTTGGCGAAATGGGTTTTTGATTTATGTGCATGTTACATGTGAATGTGTGTGTGAGATGTCTTGTACTATGTAAGGCTACAAGGGTAGTTTACCTTCCTCTTATTACATCAACTGTTTCTTGTTTCTTTAGGTTGTGTTGTCTTCTACTCTAGCTCTTCGTTTTTCACACGGGTCCTTTGATTTATTAATTGTTCTCTGCCTAACTAATAAAGATAAAGTCTTTAGCATGATTACATCTTATGAACATTATTACATTTGGCTAGTAATTAGTAACGCTAAAGTTTTTCTTTCTCGAGAAACTAGCTACCATGTCTTATTGATATTGTTGGATATAGTGTATGTTAGATCCATCATTGCAGAAAATGAAATGATTTTGATATGATTCATTGTAATTTCTAGGCTGTTTACATCTCTTCGTTAGGGGCTAAAGTATTAGCTTTATTGACATACAATATTCCCCACTTGGTAGTAACGTGTATAGTCTAGACACCAAAGTTTGATGCAACCCTTCTTGCCATCTCTAGTGTTTGGGTATGTTTAGAATTTTTTTTTTGGAAAAATGATCTGACTTGAACAATATTATTGACTGTAGACAAGTTAACACCAGCTGCTTTCGAGAAGCATTCTGGTAGAGAAACAGCCAAGAAATGGAAGAACAATGTGTGGGTTATCATTGGAGGAGAAAAGGTTCCATTGTCAAAGACAGTATTGCTCAAATACTACAACGAAGCATTAAAAAAGTGCAATAGATCAAACAGATCACAAGGGGTAAAAGTATTCCATAGAGATGAGTTTGTTGGGTGCATCGAATGTGGTAAAGAGAGGAGGTTCAGGTTGAGAAGCAGAGACGAATGTCTGATACACCACAATGCAATGGCTGATCTAAACTGGAAATGCTCAGACTTTCCATACGACAAGTAGGTTTTTAACATTGTGTTTATTATGCAAAAATGAAATGGTCATATAATAAATGGTGGTTGCAGGATAACATGTGAGACAGAGGAAGAGAGAGGAAGCAGGAAAGTGTATAGAGGATGCACACGTTCACCAACATGCAAAGGCTGCACTTCTTGCGTCTGCTTTGGCTGCGAGTTATGCCGTTTCTCTGATTGTACTTGCCAGACGTGTGTTGACTTCACCAACAATGTCAAAGCTTGAAGAAAGTAGTCCACTAAAGAAAAATGTTTTGCATTTAAAACCTTTTATTAATTAATTTCCAAACTGTAATGTCTATTCTATCTTATCTTATGGGTCGTTGAATGGAGCAATCCCCTATATATTAATTGAGAAACATTTGAAAAGATGTAACCTCAATTTTGTATTAATTAAAAGAGGCCCCAATGCATAGGTGTCATTCAATTAGGTAGTCAATTAGATTCAATTGAAAAATAAGTAAGTCCACATTAGATTTTTATAGGTTGCTAGATACATTAGTTAGTCAAACTATATGATATAATGATATGATATGATATTTTTTTTCCATAAATAAAACCTACGGAATTACCATAAATGACTAATATATATATATGACACTTAATGATTGTTCCCTAAGATATAATTACTATTTTATTTTATTTCCATAAATAAAACCTACAGAATTACCATAAATGACTAATATATATATATATATATGACACTTAACGATTCTAATAATAAATATCTGATAACAGTTTATATATCCTCCATCATTTTTCTTTAATTTTATATTATTAAAATAAATTAAACAATCAAATTAGTTATAAAATTAAACTTTAGATTTTTTCGTATAGGTTATATTTTGAATTTTAAGAAACGAGAATAAATAACTAAACTATTAAAATTATTATGTTAAAAATTAATGATCAATAGTTTAACATTTTATTATAAAAAGATATACATGATTTTAAAACCATATAAGTAAAAAAGACCATTCAATAATAAAACAAATATATATATACAGATTAAACTATATACCATATAAGATTACATTAATATTTTAATTTCAAAATTTTCAATAAATTTTCAAGAACATTTATAAATTATAAACTTATTAAATTTTTGACATTGAAATTTTTTGTTATCAATGATTTAAATATCTTAGTTCTTTTTTAATTTTATATTTTTAAAAATATTAACAATCGATAATATGGTTATTTTTGGTATATACCATACAAACCGAATGGATGTGATTTTATAAAAACCATAGGATTTGGATATGGTTTAATTTATAATCGATTAAACTGAAACATGTAAATATGTATATATTTATAACGACGCATGAATATCTATTTGTTACATGAGTTGAACTATAATTATAATTTGTAAATAGCTAACAATTTATTACAACTAAGACTTCTTATTTTGATCTTTTGCTTTTTTAACTGTAACTAAATTGAAGTAAAGATTATAAATTTGATGGACAACAATTAGTTGAAATTCATTACAACTTTTTTTTATCTGTAAACAAACATAGTTGTGTTCAATCGAAGACATATTGGTTTGATGAACACTAAATATGGAAGAATATAAAAAATTTCTTTCATGCTTCTGTTTTTTTTTATTTTTTTTTCAAAATTTAGTGTTTTGATATTAATTCTATATTTGATCATTTTATTAGATGATAGACGCCTTTTTTGTTTTTTATTCTTTTATTTAAATATATAATATTTTTTTAAGAAATGACTCTGTGACAATATGACTCTAAATATGATCATATTATATATTTGTATAATATATAATATGATCTCAAACTAAATAATTATGTTTTTTGGTATAAAATTGAATAAACTGAAAATCGATTGTATATAAACCAAATCAAACTGAAGTACATATAGATTTAGAATAGTAGTTATATTTTAATGATCGAAATACCAAAAAATCGAGCTGAACCGAAACCTGATATCCGGATTGAACACCTCTAATCTGAATGAAACCGAACTATTGTTTCATTTTTAAAAACATAATAAAAATAGTAGCTTCGTCCCGCGCAAGGCGCGGATCTTATCCTAGTTGATAAAGTAAAAGAAAAAAGTGTATTTCCTAGAAGAAACATGCAGACGAGCATGCCTAGCTCGGTTAGTGCATGTCTTTGATTTTGTTTGGTCTAGTGGCTGAGGGGAAAAATAAAGTTACATTTTTAGTATTTGTTTATTTTATTAGCTGTTGACAGCTTTGAGAGACGATGCCAATGGCACAGCTGCTACGGTCTGATGATTTCGGAGATGGGACATGGGAAGAGTGATATTTCTTCTTATTTACCTAAAAACCCCTGACCTTTAGTTAGAACACTGTTAAAATAGGAATCTTAAAAACGAACCATACACAACTAACAGATGGTTTTTTCTTAGCCTATACTGCATGTGTCAACAATCATATGAATCGTCTACTCCACTACAACCACATAATGGCATGTCCATCGGTGAATTTGAACAAAAGTTCTTAAGTTTTTTTTAAAAAATTTTATTAATCTTTTTTTCAGAACTAAAAAATAATAATAATCAATCGCGGGTCAACATTTATCAGTGGAATCCGTGATTGTGCTAAGAGTTGTCTCTTAAATAGGAGTTTTAAGAGCAATATTGCAATGTCTCTTGTCATTATTTCTTAATACACATATATGTGTATGTATATATTATATATACGTATATAATTGTTGGTTAATGATTTTACGGGAACCGAGACAGAAAAGTCCTTAATTAAGAGATTTTCTGTTTCGGTTCCCGTAAAGTCCTTAACCAACAATTATATACGTATATATAATATATAATATATACATACACATATATATGTGTATTAAGAAATAATGATAAGAGACATTGCAATAATGTTGCTATAAGACCAACTCCATCGGTAAACTCTTTAAAGAGTTCTTACTAATTAAGAAAAATGAAAAATCATTAATAATAGTGAGAGAATGTAGAAAAGGTACTTAAACCCACAATGAGGCCCGGTTCCTCTTTTTTAGTAACATATATTATAATAACATTATTTTTTTGTTTTAGAATCTGTTATGGGTTACAATCGATGGAGTTGCTCTAAGAGGCAAATCCTTAAGTATTCAATGAGACCAACTATTTGTTTACTATTATTATTTTTTTTTAAAAGCTAAGGATCCCTCCAAAATTCACCAATTGATATGGTCTAAGTTGAAAACATACAAACATGCATATTCCTTTCTTTTTTTTTTCATTTTCCAGGGTTCATGGAATCATGGGATCTTTATGATTACATCATTTACATGCAACATCAATATAACTAAACAATTCATCATGTACTTGGGAGAACAAAACAAAACGTCCATCTTCCTAATATTTAAACCTTTTGATATACTGTAACTAACAATTCATATGTATTGGGCCGTAAAGCTCAAGCCCAATATAGTTCAACGGCCCAATGTTGTTACCTTTTCTTCTAAAGTCTATTCGTTTGTTCTCGGAAAAGCTTCAGGACAACGATGACGTTCTACGCTCTCTCTTCATCTCTTTCTCCCTCTTCCTTCTACCGCAATTCTCGCATTCCTTCAATCAGCTGCTCCCGTATTCCTCATCTTAATGTCAATAACAACCTTCCACGTGCCCCCCCTCAGTTTCTGAACGCCGCCGCGAGCATCCGCGGTTTCTCTCTTCCGGGGAAGTTCCCGAGTGTAAGACTTAGGGTTTCAACAAGGTGCGAGAAGGAAGATACAAATAAAGGTGAGACAGAGGATGAAGTGGAGCGATTCGCGAGAAGAGAGAGCACTATGCCTGATAGATTCAGACACTTGACCAAAGAAGCACCAGACACTCCTGTTAGATGGCCTTGGTTTATTGGTACGTCACCGTTTTGAGTTCCCCCTTGGATCAGTAGTTTTGATCTTTACGTAGTGATTGTAATCTGAACTAGTAATGTAGTGATGTGAGGTTGTTTCAGTTGTGTGCATAGGCCTTGTTTGGTAGATGGATTAGTGGAACATGTCCTAATACTAGTAGATGTATTAGGCCTTGTTTCACTTATATCCGATTTGCTGACTAGGCGGGCGCCTAGCCTAGACCGATTTTTAGAACACTGGTGTTCAGACAGGCAAATAAGACTTAAACGAAACATATTTCTTGAACAGTTTAAAAAAAACAGTTTAGGACTTCAAAAATCGGCCTACACGCGCGTAATCAATAAGCAGCACTTAATTATCGCCTAGCGATTTCTTGAACATTATTAGAATGTTATTTTAACACAGATGAAATTAACACTTTGATGTTCTGTCTACAGCGTTAGCGTTTCTCGTTTATGCGTGGAGAGCAGTCTTGTTTGAGTTATCAAACTGGAGAAACACTGCTTTCGCCATCGTTAGATTTCTCGGAGACCTTTCGAAGTTCGCATTGGCTCTCATCTTCCACTTTATAGGAGACCCCATCACTTCTCTCATCGCTCTTGTGGAAACTGCAATCTACAGTATCCGAGCGTTCTACTCAGGGATCGTGGCGTACACACCAGTGAGAGAGTTAACCACAGTGATCCTTCTTGCATCATCTGTTCTCGCAATAGGAGAAGCTGTTGCGCCAAACTCGATAAGCAAGCAGCCGTATGTGGTGACTCTCGCTGGTCTAATAGGGTATGCAGCTGTGCAAGGGTACATCTCAGAGCCGTTCTTTTGGACTGTGTTGGTGGGTATGTATGGTTATTCGAGGTTGATAAGGAAGAGAGATGATGTGACGTCAGCGTTACCTTCTGCAGCTGTTTTGGCGGGAGTAGGGGAGCCGTGGGTGAGAGTGGTGGCTATTACAGGGTATTTGGCTTTAGCTATGTATCATAATTCAACTAAGAAGAGGTCATCTGAAGAAGAAGAAGAGGGAGAGGGACAGAGTTTGAGGAAGGCACCACCTGTGCCGTTGTTGGCTGCAGCTTTGGCTATTGGTGTCAGGCTTGCTGCTAAATGGGTTGGTTACAGGCACTTGACTTGGATGATTGTTTAAATTCTCTGCTGGTAAGGAAGGTTAAAAAGACCAAACTAAACTAGTTTGTCTTGTACTTTAGTAATGTTTTCGTTTTTCTGATTGTGATTATAGTTTTCGGATGCGTATGTTCCTTAAGTTGTTTTGTGTAATGATTCACTCACCTTTGGATCGTTTTCGAGAATACTCAACGAAAATAAATGCTAGTCATAGAGGCAGAGATTGAATTAGTGGCGGTGTTTTAAACGTAATGGCACACTTTGTTATCATATAGTTTTGCCTTCAACACTATCCACTAAACTCCACTTGTTCCATATCTACCGTTTTGGAGTTTTTTGGGTCCAGAATCCAGATCTCTGGGTTCGGTAGAGATATATGAATTATTAACATGATCATCTGGAACATGTGAAAATCATAAAATAATAGTGGTGACCCTTAAATGTGTATGACAGTTGGTTCATAAACTTAGCCTTGTACCAAATCTTGGTTTGGCACACAATTGGTGTTTTATCATATGTAACTACTCTCTTTAACTTCTCAATATATTCTTGTCTTATAATTTACAAATGTTGCCAGTTGCTAAGTTATTGTGTCTTGTCTCGTAGCTTCTATTCCAATTTACACTGAACATTTTCGACAAGGCACGTGCTTGCTAGCTTTCGGAATAATCAATCAGCAGTCAATAAATAATTATTGACTTGCTTAAATTTTCTTATCCACAAGAAAAGTCTATTAAAAAGCTAAAATACTTGAAACTTGGTCAGATAGATATTTTCCCAGCAAGTCTCCTGGATCTCCTGAACTTTGTCTTCCCAGAATCATCAATCAAAACTCTTTCTCTTCAAGCTTTAAAACCAAAAAAATGACAATACTTTCCTCTCTCGGAAGAGCCTCTAGATCTGCTCCACTTGCCTCTAAGCTCCTCCTTCTCGGCACTCTCAGGTTTCACTTTTTTCATTGGTTTCCAAAACTCAGAACCTTTCTCTGCTTTATGGTTTCGTTTTCTCAAAATACTTTTCCTTGTAATAACCTTTTGTAGTTCACTTAGGTAACATTCTTGCTCTGTAAATTCTAATAACTTTTTTATTGACTTGGTCTGAACGAGACCTGTGTTTAACAATCTTGTTGTGTCCTAGGCACTACTTTATTCAATTTGCTAACATTTGAGAATGTGTTGTATTCTTTACACATTTGCAGTGGTGGAAGTTTAGTAGCCTACTCAGACTCTAACAAAAAAGAGGATCAGCAACAGCAAAAGAAGAAAAAAAAAGTAGTTGTACTTGGCACAGGATGGGCTGGTATAAGCTTCCTTAAAGATCTCGACATCTCTTCCTACGACGTTCAAGTTGTCTCTCCACAAAACTACTTCGCCTTCACTCCACTGTTACCTAGCGTCACTTGTGGCACTGTTGAAGCTAGAAGCATTGTTGAATCTGTCCGCAACATAACCAAAAAGGTAACCTTTAAATATTTCTTTCAAACCATATATGTAATATTACTAATAAAGTAATCTTTGTTACTGTCAGAAAAATGGAGAAATTGAGTTATGGGAAGCAGATTGTGTCAAGATCGATCCCACCAATAACAAAGTTCACTGCCAACCAGTTTTCAAAGACGACCCTGAAGCAAGCCAAGAGTTTTCACTCGAATACGACTACTTGATCATAGCAGTGGGAGCACAAGTCAACACGTTTGGCACTCCTGGTGTTCTTGAGAACTGTCATTTTCTTAAAGAAGTGGAGGATGCGCAGAGGATTCGTAGAGGAGTGATTGATTGCTTTGAAAAGGCACTTCTTCCTGGTCTCACTGAGGAGCAGAGAAGGACAAAGCTTCATTTTGTTATAGTGGGAGGTGGTCCTACTGGTGTGGAGTTTGCAGCTGAGTTACATGACTTTATAGAAGAGGATATTACTAAGATATATCCGTCGGTCAAGGAACTTGTGAAAATAACACTCATTCAATCTGGAGATCATATCTTGAATTCGTAAGTCAAAGACTCTATGGTATCTTGTAGCATGGGCATTCGGTTTCGTTTTTTTTGTTCTAGAGGTTTAGGATCCGTTCGGGTATTTTTTAAAAATTCGGTTCGGTTTCAATTCAGTTATTTCGGTTTTTGGTTTGGTTCCGATAGCAAAGTTGGGAACTTGCCAATATCCGAGGTAATGGATCCCATTTGGTTCCGATTTTTCGGTTAATTCGAGTTAAAAAGTCAGAAATTTGGTTTTTGTTAGATTTAATATCATACTTTTCGAGTTTTCAGATAATATTTGAGATAATTTGAATAATTTTAAATATTTCGGATAAAATACATTCTGGTAATTTGTTTTAAGGTATTTTGGTTTATAAATAATACTTTAAATTATTTGATTATTTTAAAGGTAAATAGTTATAAATTCGGGTATCCATCGGATTTCGGTTCCAGTTCTATAGATACATGATTCGCTTGTGTAATTGATAGGATCCAAACCGAACCAAACCTTGTTTTCCGGTTTGGTTCTTCGGTTCCGGATAAATATGCCCATGCCTAGTAGCTTGTCTTGGTTGTGTGACATTGACAATTGATTGTTGTTGTTGCAGGTTTGATGAACGTATCAGTTCATTTGCTGAACAAAAGTTCTTGAGAGATGGCATTGATGTTCTGATGGGAATGCGTGTGATGTCTGTCTCTGATAAAGACATCTCTGTGAAGATCAAATCAAGTGCAGAAGTTGTAAGCCTACCTCATGGATTGATACTGTGGTCCACTGGTGTTGGGACTCGTCCTGTAATCAGTGACCTCATGGAGCAAGTTGGCCAAGGAGGTAGACGAGTCTTAGCAACCAACGAGTGGTTACAGGTGAAAGGATGTGAGAATGTATATGCAGTTGGAGATTGTGCTTCCATAGCTCAACGCAAAATCATGGTCAGTGAACTAAACCCCATTATTACAGTCTTCATGAATCTTCTTACATAAATCTAAATATGTATTTTTTTGTGATTGCTTTAAGGGAGATATTGCGAATATATTCAAAGCTGCAGATGTGGATAACTCAGGGACATTGACAGAAGATGAATTACAAGACGTGGTTGAGGATATCAATGTGAGGTACCCACAGGTTGAGCTGTACTTGAAAAGCAAGCATGTGAGGAGTATCAAAGATCTTTTGACTGATTCAGAAGGTAATCCAAAGAAAGAAGTAGACATCAAGGCTTTTGAATCAGCTCTCTCTGGGGTTGATTCACAGATGAAGAGCCTGCCTGCAACTGCTCAGGTTGCTGCTCAGCAAGGCTCTTATCTTGCAAAATGTTTTAATAAGATGGAGCATTGTAAAGAACATCCTGAAGGTCCTAAGCGGTTTAGAACTGGAGGGCATCACCAGTTTCGTCCCTTCCAGTTAAATGCCAAAACTCTTTCATCCTCATATAAAGAAATGAAACTGAAACCTCTATTTTTTGTGGTTTATGACAGGTACAAGCATTTTGGACAGTTTGCTCCATTGGGAGGGGACCAGGCAGCAGCTGAACTACCAGGAGATTGGGTTTCAGCTGGAAGAAGCACACAGTGGCTCTGGTATTCTGTTTATGCCAGGTAAAATAAATAGAAAATGCTGATAAGTTTTATTACTAATAGAATCTAAAGGGTGAATGATTACAAATGATGTGGTGAATGTAGTAAGCAAGTTAGCTGGAGAACAAGGGCTTTGGTAGTGTCTGACTGGACCAGGAGGTACATCTTCGGGAGGGATTCAAGCCGTATTTGAGTGCCAAAGTAGTGTTCTTTGTAATGTGTTTTGTGAGATTGTCTGACCAGGATTCAGTGTGTTGTTTGTTTTTGGTGTAAATCCCACAAAGCTGTGGACTCCTTGTGATTAGTAATGAAGCAAAACCTTTTTTTTTATTATTAGTGGAGCTTGGTATATATGGGCCACGGCCCAGTATAAACCATGGGTAAATTATTTGGGCCTTAGGCGCCTCATTTAATTTGGGCCCACGGAATAATCTTGTTTAATCCATAATGAATAAATTATTTTAGTGGCAACCTGATTCAATTATGACAACCATTAAAAAACAATAACATTAAGTAGTGACTGAGTTGTCTGGTCCCATTGGATAATGATGGTTTCGAATCTTTTGGGATTATTTTAATTTAGAATCAAATTCATTGTAGATAAAGTTGAATTAGTGGCAATCACATTCAAGATTTTGATAAAACTTTGATGGAAACTTGGAAGAGAGACCATGTTTAGATACTTGAAACTACAAAAGAAAGTTCTCATAAACGAACATTTACTTTTGATCTTTTTGAACAAGTCTAATATTCACATAGATGACTATAATACAAATATACAATGAAACTATATACAGTTTATTATCAGATAATCCAGCTCGTTTTGTCCAAGTCAAGCGGATCCATGAGCAAGTCACCATGCATCATCGGTGGACATGAATGTATGGAGGTAGAATTAGCCTTGGCTCCAGCAGCTAAGGTACATGACCTGACGCAAAGATTCATCAGGAGTGGAAGAAGAAGAAGAGGTACGTCGTCTTTCTTCTGAAGGATCACTGTCTACGGGAACATCTGCGGCGGAGAGAGGGCGGAGATCTGAGGAGAGCCGGCGTTGAAGGCGGTGAGCGGAGGTGAGGCCGGTTTTGAGCTTGACGCCGTGATCGGGGTTTCCTTGAACAGCTAGGAAAGATGCTGCCATCCAGACCTTGTTTAGATAATTCATGATCTAGTAAACTTGTTTCTTTTAGATCTTTGAAAGTGGAAGGTGTAAAGGATTTTGAGAAGCTACTTGTGAACTGAAGAGAGATTATAAGGTTTTGTCGGAAGATGAAGGATAGGTGAGGGTGTGTACTTATAGCCAAATGAACATTGGCTTTGAGGGTTAGATGGTAATTTCGGAAAGGTTTAAAATAAGTGATACCGTGCAATAGATTATATATATCAGTGGGATCCAGGTTTTGGAAAGCAATACATGATGTTGAGATTCTTCTTCTTTTTTTTTTTTTTCATTAATTTACTAATATTAATAGGTTATATATAGGTTATGAAAATTTATACTTTACGGTTTTGGAAGCGATACAAGATGTTGAGATTCTCTTCTTTTTTTGTATTTACTATAATATTACAAATTACTAGAATTTATATTTTATAAATGATAATTATATATGGGTTATGAAAATTTATAGTTTACGGTTCTATTTGTACCAATAGTATTATAGAAGTTTTTTTTTGTATATAATAATTTATTTGGACTTAAGTTTATGAAAATGTAAAATATTAATAAAATTTTAACTAATCATTAGATAAGGGGGTTTCCACTATTTTGAGAGAAAATGGGAAGGGATGGGTAAGGAGGTATAGGAGAAAACAAGTGGCGGCCTTAGAGGGTCCTATCCTCAAGATGAGTCACACTTCTTCTGTCACGACCTTATGTTAAGCCCTGCCTTTATTGTATCTTAGCGATAAGTGACACTGTTTTATTTTAAGTTAATTTCAAGATTTGTCTCTTCTATGTTTTGTTTTTTTATATACTATGTGAAACGATAAGAGTATGCTCAAAACAAAACTAAATGTTATTTGGATACATTATTGGAAGCTGCCTAGAGTCTAGAGTCGACGTCCTCGTGGGTTTTGATTGCGTGGTAGCCGGTAATTGGGTGGTCACGTGCTTCCATCACGTGGTGCTTCTGTCTTCTCCCTTTGTTTAGTGAGTTTTTAATTGCTATTTATCGTTTGTGTCTTTAGGGACTTTAATCTTTCATTGGTGATGTAAATCTCATGGTAAACAGAAGTTATATTTGTTAGGATATAGGTTCATTCTCTCATGGTATGGGTAGATAAGCCATGTCTGCTTCAAATACTATTTTACTATTAAGTCTATATTCTATAACCAGCTCTACTTCTTTTTTTTCGTCTTTTATAGTTCTGGATTGTGGTCTCAAAAGTATAGCTCCATGTGCAAAAGCTCAAACCCTGCAATGAATGTATTGCTGAAGAGTATATAACAACAGTAATTGTAAAGGCATATATCAATTTTGAACAAGGTAAATACCATAATCACTATGAGTCCATGGCTTTTTTTTCCAGCGTGTTACAGACGTCGACTATATGTTTCATCTTGATTATTTGGCTCTAATTGGTAAAGTCAAAACGCCATGCACCTTAAGGAAAATTAAGAAGAAAAGGAGATGCTTGATAATATGAGATGATAGCTGAAACGGAAGAACAAAAAAACTCTTTGAGAACCTTTTTATTAAGCATAGGTCCAACATGGCTAATGAAAACTTGCGTGGGTTATGATAGTCATGATATAACGATAAAGATCATAAACATAGATAGAGAATTTTTTAAAATTTCTTAAAAGACCATATTCTAGAATGCATGCAGGAACTTTGGTCTTACTGATGATTGCAAGCATCTACTCTTTGGCACTGCATGATCATAGTCCAATATTTTTGTGTCCTTTAGTTCTAGATCGACGACATAATTTCTGAGCCACTGTTAAATGAAAAGAAAAACGAATTCAAATTTACCAATCAAACAGAAATTTAAGTCTTGATCATTGTTTTAGAAAGCTATAACAAAGTTTTCACACTCGCAAACTCATCACGTACACAAGCACACAAATTCACAATTCACGGCGGAAGAGGAACAGGCCCATCAGAGCTATATTTTTTCTGTTGTAATAAGATATTGGGCTGAGCCCATACTTCCTTGGCAACTAAAGCAAGTAATCACAATACACACTAAAGCTCCAACAAGAACCTGCCAAGGGATGCGATCAAGCAGCTGGAGACCACTTATTGGTAAGCACACTCATTTCCAAGTCTGACGTCTCAACCTCCTACATCGAGTTCTTTCCCAATCTCAATCATTTTCACAAGGGTCTAAATCACCTTGTGAGCTTCCGCAAGAGGCATACCTTTTGTCAGCACGTTGTGTCAGCTTCCTCTTCGGGTGATACCTAGTGAGTGCTTCCCAATAAGCACAAGCACTGTCAACACTTTGTGAGCTTCCACTTTGGGTTTAATGATATATACTTGCCTATGCGAATATTAAAACACACGGTACAGATATAGTTTTTTCCCAAAAATTTAATTTAGTTACATATTTCAAGTTTTTTTTTTATATTTTTTTTAACGATCATCTACATGTGTTTTGAAATGCAACATTGGTAGTTTTGAAATTATTTAAGAAACCTAATATATTGAATATATGTATAAACTCTTCTTGGGTTTGGATACGGGAAATAAGAAAAGATCTACTCTGTTTCTGTAGTTAGTATCCCACAATAGAAAGTGGAAGTAACACATATTCATATGATATATTTTCTAATGTCCCATAATAGAAGAAGAAAATGACAAAAATTAGATAAGAAAAGAAGACATGACACCACCAAATACTACTCCCAGCTCTATCTCCCCTTTGGAGATGGCTACAATGGCTCCTACACACTCACCAACACTCTCTCTTACACACACACAAGGATGAAGAGGAGAGAACGCAAGAGCCGTTGGATTCGGATAGATTTTCTTACAATTGCCATCCTACGGCCATCAGTCACTCTATTTCTCTCCTCAAAAAAAAAAAAAAAAAGATCACACAATAGTATACTAATATTAGTCTTTAGAGGACCGGGGAGAAGTTGAGGCGAGAAGTATAAGTTGCTTTAGGAACCCAGTTTCTAGGAACGACGTCGGTTGCCGACAGTGTTCTACCGGCGGACAAAGTGGTGATCTTAACGGAGAATGGTCCTTTGAGTGGCCCACCAATGATGCACCAGTTGGCTCCCCAAACGTGCTTCATCTCTAACCATTCCCTCGATCCTGCCTGCACCATTAAACAAACAAACAAACACATCTTTACACTTTTGTTTATTTTATTATTACTTTTAGTAGACTTCAGTGGTGTGTGTGTGTGACTTTCTAGTTAGTCAATAAAGAACCATGATTGTGCTCACTCCACTAAGTCTTTTCCTCCTTTTTCATTTAGTATTATACAAAGTAAAAGTGGAACTGATTCAGTTAGTGGTAAGAAAAAAGTAAAGTAAAGTCTAAAGAGGTAAAAAGAGTATGTACTTGGCGAATATGCATGGAGCCAATGTCGCCTTCTCCTTCTTCAAACTCAACAAGTAGAGACAACCAGAAATCGGTTGATCCTTCGTTCACATGGAACGCTATGTTCTTCCGTCTATATTTGCATGCCGTCCTTTTAAAAATATTATGTAAAAACAAAATTAAAAAATCTAGAAGTGAGAAAGAGAGTGGTCAACGGTCAAAATTGTAATATCGTCATTAACGTTACCTTCTTTTAATTTAATTCATTCACACCAATTGTAATAAAATCTAATACTAATTTTTAACTCTGTTTACCTTCTTCACCATTAACTACAAAACTATATAATATAATTCCTATTTTATTTAATTCGATCGTGCACTGTCACGAGTTAGTTACTGAACAGAGAATAATAATAGAATAATATATATATATATTTTTTTAATAATAAAATAGATATTTACCGCCGGTAAATAACGGGGATGAGACCACGGTTGCGGAGGGGACCAGACTCTCCGGTGATAGCCAAACGACCAAAGGCAGCACCACTAAGATCAAAATGAGTGTTGGTTTTGGAGCATCCGGGACACTCATCAGTGACAATAACAGTGACAGCTCTCCGGGAACAGATACTCCTGTCCAAGCACCTAACCTTGTAACAAGCTCCACAGCCTTCACCGTTTTTAAAGAGAATAGGATTCACAGCTCCAACTCTAGCATGAAACGGCTTCACGTCCACCAACGTACCGTACCCACACGCTCCTCCTGCATTTTTAATTTAATACAATTCCGTTAGTTAATGAAAAAGACTTCACTAGCTAGAGTGTGAAGTCGTCATGAGGTTTAGTTATGTGTTGTAATTAGTTACAAAAAAAGGTTACGTGTTGTAATTACCATCGCTGCCGTCACCGTTGGCGTTTCCGTACCATGTGGCAACTGCAGGAAGCCAATGAGTGTTAGACACGTGGCGATTGGGTATCACCGAGGCGGAGGAGATGGTTAGGAGTTGCAGGACAATGCAGAGTGTGGCTAAGATGATGGCCGGAGGGAACTGCATTTTCTCCGGAGATATCACCGGAGCCGACAGTGAGTGAGTGAGAGAGAGTGTGTCTGAGTTATGAGCAATTGATATGTCAGTGTTGTTGTTTGTTATATAGAGGGGAAAAAAAAGGAACCAAACTGCTTTTTCTGTAGTTTCTCTTTTTGTTTTGTGTTTATGACGGTTTAGTCCCTATGCCGTTGATCTTATTTACGGTGAGATGCCACTATAAATGGACCTACCGGCAGTTAAGGCGTCGATTTCGCACGATCCAGCGTGTCATTGTCAGGGGACCGACAAGGGTGTTTTAGTAAAGTTAAAAGATTCGACCGTTGAAATCTCAACGCAGATTCTGTGGAGGAGATGAGGAATCCGTGTTAAGGCACTGACTTGCCCTTTGCCCAATCTCTTCTTATCTTTTTCAGTTTCTTCCTATATATTTTTGGATAAATGTTTCATTGTTATTAGATGTTTGTGAACAAGAAGAATCAAGAAGAAAGGTTGTTACGGATGAAAGTGAAAGTAGAAAATATCTTGTATTCTTGTTAACTGTCAAAAATGTACATACAAGTGTATTTATACTCTTATACTGGTTTACACTTAACCAGTTTACATTGAACCAGAATCTAATAATATCCGGTTTAGTAATCTCTATAGTCTANTAGATGTTTGTGAACAAGAAGAATCAAGAAGAAAGGTTGTTACGGATGAAAGTGAAAGTAGAAAATATCTTGTATTCTTGTTAACTGTCAAAAATGTACATACAAGTGTATTTATACTCTTATACTGGTTTACACTTAACCAGTTTACATTGAACCAGAATCTAATAATATCCGGTTTAGTAATCTCTATAGTCTAATACCCTCCCCTCAAGATGGAAGACACAAACTGTGAATGCCAATCTTGCCAACAATAGACTTGAATATAGCAGGCTGAACAGCCTTTGTGAGTATATCCGCAAGTTGGAGAGCTGACTTCACGTGTAATGTCTTCAAGAAGCCACTCTGCAAACGCTCTCTAACCACATGACAATCAATCTCCACATGTTTTGTTCGCTCATGATAAACAGGATTCGAAGCTATATAGAGAGCCGACTGGTTATCACAGAACAATGTCGCTGGCGGAGGAGGAGGACAATGTATCTCTGTTAGTAAAGCAGTTAACCATATCAACTCACATGTGGCATCCGCCATGGCCCTGTATTCCGCCTCAGAACTACTACGAGAAACAGTAGGTTGTTTCTTAGACCGCCAAGAGACAAGAGAATCACCAAGGAAAATACAGTAACCGGTAACAGATTGTCTTGAATCCGGACAAGCTGCCCAATCTGCATCAGAGTAAGCTGTGAGTTTGAAAGAAGAAGATGCAGAGTAGAAAAGACCTTGAGCAGGATCATTCTTCAGATAACGAAGAACACGATAGGCAGCCTGAAGATGCTCATCAGTAGGGGCAGACATGTATTGACTCAACTTATGAACGGCATATGTAATATCAGGCCGTGTATGAGTTAAGTAAAGCATACGTCCAACAAGTCTTCTGTAACTCGACGCATCAGGAAGTAACTGGCCAGAAGTTGCAGACAGCTTCAAGTTGGGTTCCATAGGAACAGATAATGGTTTGCATCCCAAGTAACCAGCTTCTTCTAAGAGTTCCAGAGCATACTTCCGTTGATTTATAGAAATACCAGTAGCATTGCGAGCAATTTCAAAACCCAGAAAATACTTGGCTGGACCAAGATCACGGAGCTTGAAAGCAGCTTTGAGAACATCCTTGAACTTGTTGACTGCAGAGTCATCATTGCCAACAATGAGGATGTCATCTACATAGACAAGAACTGCTATGAACACACGATCAACATATCTGATGAAGAGAGAATGATCAGAATGTGTCTGTGTAAATCCATCTCCAAGAATAACACTCGAGAGCTTATGATTCCACTGTCTTGAAGCTTGTTTAAGACCGTAAAGGGACTTGTGAAGCTTGCAGACAGATCCAGGAGGAACCTTTTTACCAGTGATCTCTTCATAGCCAGTAGGTAACTTCATGTATATCTCTTCATCCAAATCCCCATTCAGAAACGCGTTACTGATATCCAACTGACTAATAGACCAATCCTTAGCCGCTGCAAGACTCAAAAGTAAACGCAAAGTACCAATCTTGGCCACAGGAGAAAAAGTATCCAAGTAATCCAATCCTTCCAGTTGTGTGTAGCCCTTCGCCACAAGTCTGGATTTGTGTCTCTCAATAGTTCCATCAGGGTTATATTTGATGGTGTGAATCCATTTACAACCAACTGGATGTTTACCTGGAGGAAGTTGACACACTGACCAAGTACCCGTACCTTCTAGAGAAGTCATTTCAGATTTCATGGCAAGTTTGAACTCATTGGACTGAACAGCTTCCGCATAACTTTGGGGAAGTTTATTAGTGGTAATAGAAAGAACAAACTGTTTGTGATCAGGATCAAACTTGTCATAACAAAGAAATGAGGAAATAGGGTACGAGGTGGTGTGGGTAGGATGAAGTAACGGATCAGAAGAATGATCTAAAAGATAACAATGATACTTATCAAGATATGCTGGTGCCTTAGTCTGCCGTTTAGACCTTGTTTCAGGAACTACAGTCACATCAGAAACTACACTAGGTCTAGGCATAGAAACAGGAACAGGCACAGAAGTAGTAACAGGTACAGAAGATTGAGAACGTGTGTCTAATAACTCAGGTGAAGTCAGGTTATCATGATTATTATCAACAAAAACAGAGGATGGAACATCATTTCCTAAGTCAAAAAATGCAGGAAAAGAAGAATCATGAACTGGTAATGGAAGAACATCTTGATCAAAGAATGATTTTTCACTATCTAAAGAATGAGGATCCTTAGCAAAAGGAAAAATCGATTCATGAAAAACAACATCACGAGAGACAATGATCGTGTTAGTAGCAATATCTAACAGTTTGTAACCTTTATAACCATGTGGATAACCAATGAAAACAGCAGAGTTAGCACGAGGTGAAAACTTATTTCTATCTTTCTGTAAAGTAGAATAGTAACATAGACAACCAAAAACACGAATGTGTGCATAAGTAGGGACATTTTTAGTTAAAAGTTCAAAAGGTGATTTGTTATTTAAAAGAGGTGAAGGGGTTCTATTAATGAGATATATGGCCGTCTGAATACATTCACCCCAATATAGTAATGGAACTTTAGATTGGAAAAGAAGAGCCCTAGCAACATTTAAAATATGTTGATGTTTTCTTTCTACAACAGAATTTTGTTGAGGTGTGTATGGACAAGAAAAGAAATGTTCAATACCCTTATCAATGCACAAAGATTTAAAAGCAAGTTCTGGAGCATTATCAGTGCGAATGGCTTTGATATGTACTTTATATTGATTAAGAATGAATTGAACAAACTCAGGAAACACTGTAACGACAGAACTTTTATTTTTCAAAAGGTATATCCAAGTCACTCGAGTACAGTCATCAACTAAAGTGAAAAAATATTTGTATCCATCATGTGTTGGAGTCTGAAAAGGACCCCAAACATCAAGATGTACCAAATCAAAAGGAGATTTTGAAATATGTGGATTAGAAGGAAAAGACATTCGTTTTTGTTTTGCCAAAGGACATACATGACAGTGACTGTGAGGATCACTCTTAGAACTAGACAGACACAAAGATTTAGAAAGAACTTGAAGTTTATTGAAAGATGGATGCCCTAATCTTTGATGCCATACATCGGAAGAAACTTGAAAAACAGAGTGAGCTTCAAAGGAGGTTGTTGAAGAAATATTCTCAGAAGACTGCGTGTCCAGGACATAAAGATTGCGTTGGAGGTTACCCTTCCCAATCATGAAGTCCTGAATATGCTCCTGGTTTGAAAACGGATTTTCAGGGAAAATATAACATGCGTTAGAAGAAAACAAAACAGCAATAGAGCTATTTCTAGTCAATGCACTAATACTCAACAAATGAAACTTAAATTGAGGAACAAAAAGAACATTGTGAAGAGTCAGAGTGGAAGATAAAATCACAGTACCAGACACAGTCACACAAATGCAAGTACCATCAGGAAGAGTCACAGTAGTATTACTAATGGATTTAGTATCATGAAACAAGGTCAAATCGGCACAAACATGACAGCTAGCACCAGTATCAATTATCCAAGTAACATTGCTAAAATTAAGGCCATTCTTCATTCCCGCAGAAATAAAATGAGAAGGATTATGGTTACCTGATGGTGGTTGATCATATGGTGTGTGAGGAATAAGGTGAGGTTGTGGTTTGGAAGTGGAAGCTGTTCCATCCGAGAGACAAATTGTACTGCCAGCAATCTGAGTAATGTTGTCTTGGATGTGAGGGGTACGCAAGACATTGAGAAGCTGATGTACTTGTTCAGAGGTAACTTTTCCCAAGCAAACACCATGTTGATCATGCATAGAGACACCACCATTATCTTGAACCACTAAGTTGGCCACATTCTCCTGTTTCGGTGGTACTGTCTGTTGAGGTTTAGACGAGTGATTGTTAGCCGGTTTATAACCCTGTGGATAACCATGTAGCTTGTAGCATCGAGCAACTGTATGACCAGCCAGACCACAGTGTGAGCAGATAGGACGATTCTTGTGTTTAGCATAACCATTAGTATACGCAGCCACAATAGAATCATCAGAAGGAGAGCTTTGAGAAACATTACAAGCAACACCACTTGTACTCTTCAAAGATCTCTGACGCTCTTCTTGAGAAACCAGGTTGAATACTTTTGAGATGTTAGGCTTAGGGTCCATCATCAGAATCTGTCCTCTCGTTGCTGTGAAGGTATCATTAAGACCTGTCAAAAACTTCAAGATCTTGTCCTGTTCATCTCGTTGCACAATCCTCTTGAGACTAGGACAATCAGATTTGCTACAACAGCACGTATAAGGACTCTCATGATTCTTTAACTCCTCCCAAAGCTGCTTCAACTTGGTGTAGTAATCACTCACACTCTGTGTTCCCTGAACTTCCGCAAAGATTTGCTGTTTGATCTCAGCATTACGCGGTCCATCACTCTGTTTGAACTGGTCATGAATATCAAGCCACAT